TTTATTATTTATATAGTATGTATATATTAATATTTTTATTAAATTTTTCTTCGATTTTTTTCATCTTTTTTTATTTATTCTTTCGTCTCAATAAAGTACGAGTCGCGTATGATTAACGTCAGGAATTGAACAAAGTGTCGGACAAAGTATCGCGCGATTGTCACGTTCTGAAAATTAGTTCGCGCGTAATTAATTATGCTTTCGCGAGTAAATGTGTGAGTAATCCATAACGGAATAACACAAAGGAAAAGGAGGTTTGGGAAGCATCGGGCATCGGCGAAGCAACTGAGTGAATAATTTGTTAGAAGAGAAAATTGCGTTATAGCACACTCCAGTTACAATAACTTTGTTAATAATTAACTCCTACAGCACATTGCAGCAATATTGCATGTTGTAACAATATTGCAACGTTATTGTAACGATATTGCTGCACATTCTGTGCTGTATGGGAATATTTTAAAATTTGACAATTATATTTGTTAAATTATTTTTGAATCGATTCTGGACTCATAGATATGAAATAATATTAACAATAAAACAAGGTAACTAAGAGCTAATACGCAATTATTATTAACGTGTGTTATAATTCTTCTTTATTATTCTTCTTTACATGACAAATACAACTTGTTTTATTGTTAATATTATTTTTAATACAGAGAAATAAATTTATACTATTATATGGTTATGAAATATTTATTACTTAGGATATTATTAATGAAAAGTGCGACATTGCATAATGATTCTGATGAAGAAATAAATGAATAGTAATATGGCTTTCTATAAAAATAGACTTAAAATATTAATTTTGTTTAAAAAACAGTATTTACAAAATTAACAAAATTAACGTAAAACATTTTAAAATGTATGTATATACATTCATACAACTTCTGCATATAAGTTGCTAGTACTAAAAATAGTACATAATATAAACTATAGATTAACAGTAGAGATAACTACGATCGATTATCAAATAATTATAAAATAATTATTTTGATATGAAAATCTCAAAAAAGAGATCGTGACTAATCAACACCCATAAAGGGCCACATTAGCGAAGTGCCATGCTATTGTTTGAATTTGCATAACTTAAAATATACTATACAGTCAAATAAAATATTAAATAGCAAACTTAAAAATATAATCATGTGATAATACGCTCAAGAAAAATGAGAAAGTGGGTGTAATTAAATGCTAAAATGTACCTCAGAAACATTTCGAAATATTTGAAAATAAAAATGCGTTATAAGTACTGGCTATAGAGTAATGATATATATTAGTGTCATGGTATAACGGCGAGTTACTGAACAAATAATTCCATAAATAATCATAGGATTCGTTATATTATAACGGAAATATTAAGGAAGGCCATAATATATACTCGCCCTAATACCATCTTTTCCTCTATCTATACATAATATCATATTTTTATACTATTTGTTTAGAATTAATTAGTTATTATAATTCATTTCTTCCCATCGTTTTATTTAGCACAGTATTTTAAAAATTTTTCTCCATATGTATAAAAAAATTGAGATAGACTTCTGAAAAGATGAACCCTCCGATTTTATCGATTGACTATTGTATTTTGATGCCTTGCTTACGAATATGATAATGAAAATTGTCGACAAAATCATTTTCAAGGTTTCAAATATTTAAAAATTATTTTTTTCACATTTTTTCGCATATTTTGCATGGAAAATCGTGCGCCCTTTGATAGGGAGGAAGATGAGATGGGAGTCGCTTCGCGTGGAAGTCATGCCTTGGTAGGAGCGAGATAGGGTGAGAGTAGCTTCGCGTTAGAATCCTGTATATAAAGAGCCATTGATGTCCGAATTTCTGACTGGCAGTCTAATATATATTCTGATTGAGTATCTCCTCTTAAGTGAAGCAGCCATATTGTGACCGCAGCTGATTACACAGACTGTGTACTTAGAACATAAACGGAAAGGGAATAGAGCGCTGAACTTGATGCCAAAATTTGTGCGAGAGAGAAATGTAGTAACGGATAAATGTTGATAAAGCGCATGCGTCTGTTCCTCGTTCCTGCTGTCTAGAGAGATAAATTTCACAATCACTGCTTCCCAACTCCACATACGTACTTGAACAAGGAAATACCGGAATCGATGTCGGCGAACATTTATCCCTTATTACCTTTCTCTCTTGCACAAATTTTTGCATCAACGCTAGTCATAGACAAATATAAGCAATGTCCCTTCCATATACTACATGGGCTGAAAAGTCCCGGGATTTTTAATGAAAATAAACGTTTTTTGGGCAAAGTTATATTTATTCATACAACTCAACATAGTTGCCTTCGAGAGCGATACACTTGATATAGCGATTTTCCAACATTTCGATGTCCTTTCTGTAGTACGAAATGTCTAAGCCTTCGAAATACGCCTCGGTTTCCGCGATGATTTCCTCATTCAATGTGAATCTCTTTCCTTGGAAAGCCACCGCTTGAAGTTTGGGAACAGATAATAGTCGTTGGGGGTCAAGTCTGGAGAATACAATGGATGAGCAATCAATTCGAATCATAATTGGTCCAATTTGGCCATCGCTTTCGTGGACGTGAGTGACGATATGTTATCGTGATGATACAGAACGAAGGCGAAAATAGCGCCATTTAAACGACTGACTTGTAAACGAATGAACGAAATGTCATGAAACTTCATACATAAACTAGTGGCAGCACCTATTGAAAAATCCCGGGACTTTTCAGCCCATGTAGTATGTTCTAAGGCTGTGTAACACAGCTGACACACATAACCTCAATCGTTAATGGAATACAGAACTCATTCCGGTAACGAAAACAACAGAGTACATTTTTCTTTTTCAATTTTGGCTCCTGCCTTTAGTAAATCAGGGAGATTAATAATTCCACAACGAAGTGCAGAATATTGGAGTTTGAAACAAGGTTGAAATATATTTATTTTTTACTGGAGCGATCCAAATAAAACGGCGCAGGAGTGATGGTAGGGATTCGATTTGATGATGAAGGTTCGATGTCGGATCTCTTTATACAGAGTGCATCACCAAAATCTGGACAAATTTCCGCTATATTGTGTCTCCGTCAGAGGTTGTTGTTGTCATCCGAAAAAGCTTGATGCTTCTAGTAAACTGTCATATTTTCAAAAGAGCCGCGATGTTGAAACCAAGTGCGGAGTATAATCGAAGAGCCGCGATCATCGAAGGCCTTCGCGCTGAGCGCTCAGCAACGGAAATAATTCGGTTCTTTGGATACCAGAGATCAACCATTTATGACGTTGTGACAAAATATACGCTTTAGAATAGTCCAGTCGAAGGTTCCAGTATGCTAGTGAGGAAGAGTTACTCGAAAGAACCGCAAACGCCCCCGCAATCATTGAAAGGGTTCAAACGCTGATTTCGGATGATCCAGGGCAATCATTGCGAAAATTAGCATCGATTGTTGGTGTAAGCGAACCAACATTGTGTCGAATTGGATTGGATCCGAGGAGGATCTTTGATACAAATCGTACACATTAAAGATACGACAGATGCTCTTTGAGGCTGCCAGGACAAGTCGAGTTGCTCGTCTCCCATTCTCGGCTCCCATTCTGGCCTGTCAACAATCAGATTTAAATCTCTTGGTCTACTACGTATGGAGCGTAATTGAAAGGGTCACAAACAAGTCTCGACATCTCAATGTGACATCATTAAGGACTGCTATTGAGGTAGCATTCGTCGGCATGAACAGCGCTTAACAGAATAGAGAACTATTAGAGAATAGAGCTATTCAAGCTAATGGGGAATGTATCGAATAATTATGCTTTACAGGGATTCTCCAAGTGCCATGTAAAAGGATTTTTTGTAATATTTAATTTTTCATTAAAAATATTTTGTTATTTTTGTAAAGAAATTGTTCGATTTGTTCGGATTTTGGTAACGCACCCTGTATAAGGATTCTACTTCGTGAAAGTCCTAAGCAGGGGAGGGGGAAGGAGATAAAGCGGGAGTCGCTTCGCGTGGAAATTGTGTGCTCCTGAGCAGAGGGAGATGGAGTCATTTTGCGTAGAAGTATGCCCCTAAACGCATAAAGTGTGTTCTCTTTCTATAGAAAGAGAAATATAAAATATATTAAACAAGATTCAATACCATTCTTATGATACAAAACAGGCCAATATTCAAAGTCGATTCTTAAAACTGTCTTAAGATGTCATAAGTCAATTCGAGGAATATATTAGTATCTTAAGACATTATTTAAGATAGTTTTAAAATAAAAACGGACTATGAATATCGTCCCATGTTTTTTAGCATTTCACAGTTGGCAGCCTTTTCTCCTCACGCGACATTTATAGATAGAAACGGCGGAGATTTAAAGAGAGATAACAGTGTGCTCAGTTTAGTTTGTATGTTATCCCTTCCATGGATGTCATTCAGTTCAAAAATAGCATAATTAAGTTATTATAAACGTGAATATTCGCATATCCGCCATTTTTATTTCTTTCCCAACTCCTTGCTTTGTTCTGCCACTGAACTGAGGAGGTTATGATCGTTATAGTTGTTATAGGTTATTCAGTCAGAAATAGTTCCTCGAAAAGTCGTCGTTTTGACGTCGATACGATGGAAAAATTGCTGATTCGAAACTTGCATCGAAATTTCAATATTTTCGAGTGATAAAAAATTATGTATGTAGAGAGTGCAATGAGAATTTGATATATTTTTGGTATAAATTTGTGATACATAATCTTATATATTTTGAATATTTTCGTTCAAAGATCGACATTTTTTTTGATTTTATTTCGACAATTGCAATATCGCTTTAAAAGCTCATAAAAGCTTTCTCAAAATTTTTCAGAATTTATAGATAATTTTATAACTTTTTAGAAAATTGTGGAATTTTTTTATACGAATCGAGATATTTTTTACAATTGTCATTAAAGTCTACATCTTTTCTTCTAGTAATTCTTTATATCTTATTTTATTATTCTATTCCTGCTGAATAATATTACTTTTATTTGTAGTTTATATTTTGTAGTTTATTTAATATAATCTTATTATGTCATTTTTGTATTGAGGAATTTTAGAGAATAATGTTTCTTATCATAAACAACCTATTAGCTCAACCATAAGCAAACACAAAATCAAGGAAAAATATCATCGACTCTATCAAAATCTAGTTAATTCTAGCTTGAAAAATCGATATCGAAACGATCTCGATTTTTAAATTAATGAAATTTAAATATTCTATCATACAAATTTCCAATATCATTTGGAAGTATAAAAATACTACTAGTATCACTGCTACTGCAGTAGTACTACTGATACGCAATAGTGTCAATGCTGAGCCAGTAGTGTTACTACTGTAGTAGTATATAGCGACATATGACGTACTACCTCGATCAAAAAGTTCCCGGAATTCATTCAGAAAATTCAAAATACAAGTTTTATTCATCAAAAGTGATATTGTCCCCTTCAAAATACTCAGTCGACTGTAACGCATTTATGCCAGCGCTTGATCCAGCTCTCGAAATATTTATGGAACTCTATTGTCGGTATAATCATCAGAGCCATCTTCGATTTTTCCATTACCTCCTTTCGGTTGTTAAAACGCAATTCCCCGTAATGGTTTTTTGACTCGATCCAATAGAAAAAAATCGCAGGGAGCCATATCAGGTGAATTCGATAGCTGTTGGATGGTATTCGTTTTGTTTTTGGTCAAAAATTCACGGATAATGATGGTATTGTGCAACAGTGCGTTATCATGGTGCAAAATCCACGAGTTGTTTGTCCACAAATTCTTTCTTTTTTGGTGAACTGCTTCATGCAAACGTCTCATAATGTCCAAATAATATTCTTTATTAACTGTCCTTCTGGCAAAAATTCGTGATGTACAATACCGTTGTAATCCATGAAAATCGTGAACATCGCTTTCTTTTTCGACTGAAAACGATGTGATTTTTTTTGGTCTTGGTTCATTTGAAGCTTTCCATTCACTCGCCTGATGTTTGGATTGCGTGTCGTACTCATAAACCCACATCTCGTCTCCAGTAATGATACGTTTGATGAATGTTGAGTCGGATTCAGCCTGGAAATCATGTCTTTGGCGATGACAACGCGGTCCCTTTTTTTTGAAATTCAGTTCCTTCGGGACCAATTTTGCAGCAACACGGAAACCCAAACCATTAACTACAATGTCCTGAATGGATCCATAATCAATGTTTAAATCCTCTGCCAGTTCTCTGATAGTTAATTTGCGGTTATTGATCAACATTTTCTCACTTTATTGATGTTTTCATCGGTTTTCGATGTCGACGGCCTGCCACTGCGTTCGTCATCCTCGGATTCACTACCACTTTTGAAGCGTTCATGCCACTCATAAACGGCTGTTTTCTTTAGAGTATCACTGCCGAAACAATTTCCCAACATTTCCAAGGTTTTCACACCATTGAATTCATTTTTAACGCAAAATTTAATACAAACTCGTTGTTGCAAATTCAACTCCATTTTTAAAACTGTAAAAAATCGAAAATACGTGCAGAGGTAGATGTACTCAAGAACGGCGTAACTTTTACAAATGTCAAGCTATGGTGATAAAATTTGGTGGGAATGTCAATGATAGATGTGGTCCCTACCAACCTAACTAAAAAAAAAAACAACTCAAATCAGCTGACTCAGAGCACCACCTGGTGATAATTCTAGGAACTTTTTGATCAAGATGGTAGAACTACTTCCAATAATTGTAAATATTTGGTATAAAAAATTTATTAGAGTAAAAAGTACATATATATATATA